TATTTTTTTTTTATTTATTGTAGAGACGAGATCTCATCATGTTGCCCAGGCTGGTCTTGAACCCCTGGGTTCAGGCAATCATCTCGTCTCTGCCTCCCAAAGTGCTGGGATTACAGGCGTGAGCCACCTCGCCTGGAGGGAGTGGCCCAGTTTACCAGCAATTCCAGTGATCTACTATTGGAATTGTGCTTCCTGTTCCCTCAGGGCTCTGCAAGGTTAGAGGTTCTGGCTCTCCAAGGGAGAACACTGCTACCAGGGGACACAGCAAGAGTCCCATTAAATTCTAAGCTATGACTGCCATCTGGCCACTTCAGGTTTCTCATGCCAAGGGACATAAAGAGGAGTCACTGTCTCGGCAGGGGACATGACCGGCCTTGCTCTTCAGGAGGAGGTGGAGCTGCTGGTACATAGTGGGGGCAGGGAGGAGTATGTTTGGCACCCAGGTGATCCACTTGGGCATTTGTTGGTAATCCGTGCTGAGCTTTGATAGTAAATGGACAACATGGTTGTTTGCACAGCCGTCACAGCCTGAGAAGGGCATGGAGATGAAAGGCTCAGGGATCCCTCAAGGAGGAGGTAAGCCACTGAGGCCAACAGAGGCGCTAGCTGAGGGTGAGGGGAATCTAGAACGGACAATAAAGGAAGGACACAATGAATATCATATATGGCCTTGAAATCAACTGCGTAGTTTGTCTGACTACTGAGCTCTTTCAAGTTTTCCCCAGAAAATGAGACCAACTAGACTCCTGGAAATGTTGTTTCCCAATGGGGTAAATTTACTCTAAGAGGCAAGTGGGTCTGAGAAGTACAAGGGTAAACTATCTGCTCCCCCAGATCCTTACTTCCCCGCTTCAGCCTTTTCATCTGTCCCCCAGCTTCTGGGATAGCTGCCACTGAAGGATACAAGTGTGTCCCTCATTGGGAATTGGCCCCTGCAACAGGACTTGCCACATCCAAGATTATGCCTCCTCCCAGGGCACAGCCTGCAGTTGATGACCGACAGTTGTAGGGATACAAATGCCTGGCCACCCCACCTCAATTGGGCCAGCTGTGAAGGGCCGTCCTAGTGCCAGAGCTCTCCAGGCCTCTGCTGTGGTTGCATCAGAGTTCAACTTTCCCCTCTGTCCAGTCCTGCTTCCCTCACTACCTCCCCCACAGGCGTTATTCCCAAGAGCACTCCACAATAAATCTCCTGCACGCAAATCTCAGAGTCTCAAAGTCTGCTTCCAGGGAAGTCTATCTGAGAAAAGAAGCGACAATAAGAAATATAGCTTATATAACCCACTATAACATATTTACATAATAACCCATCCTATAATCCTATATACGTAATATGTATTATATAAGACATGTATATTATATAGCAAATATAAAAGAATATAGAATGTCTTATATAATACGTAACACGTAAAATATTGTATATTATATATTATGTGTATATGTATCTAGAATGTATAGCATGTATATAAATATACATATATAATCGGAATGAAATTTCAGTAATTACCTTTACTATGTGCAATGCAGTCTGACACTTCCTGTTCTAGTTTATTCCATTTCATGAAGAAAAACATATACATATAGATGTATTGTATACTCTAAAGCCATTATGTAACACATGCATTATATACTATATGTCATACATAATACATAGCATACATTATAGATTATATATCTTAGTGGAATGACAGTTTCGCTCAACAACCACTCCACTTACTATGTACAATATTCTGTTATTTTCAATTTTTTATCCTACCTCATGAAGAAAGAGAAATGCTGATCTTAAGCCAATAGTTGACCCATAGTTTGAAAAACACAGGACTAAATTATCTCTAAAAGGGGGAGATGAGTCTCGATTTGGAGTTTGAACTGTAAACCATGGAGGAATCAATACCCAGGAAGGAATGAGAGTGGTTAGGTTTAGTGGGAAAGGCATCGAACTGTACTTAGGCGAGCATTCCATTACAGAGTTTGCACGACTTCTCCTTTATTCCAGGTGAAGTCCCTAAAGCTTGCATGGTCCTGAATGTCTGCATGTTGGTGAAACAGGTCTCTGTTTCCCACGCAGAGCCTGCTGTGCATAGGCTCTTCCCATTAGTCCACTCCACCCCACATATAGTAGACACTAAGTAAATATTTGCTAGGTAGCCTAGAAAAAAAGACTGGAGGGCTGCTGGGGTAGAGAGGGGTTTCTGGGACACAGAAGAGGAAGGGCGGATCCTTCATTGAATTCAGTGGTGCTCAATAAATGCTTGTTGGACAGATTAGAAGAAAAAAATGGAAACACTGGGGTTGTGATTATGGAAAGGGGAAGGGACTTAGTTTTCAGGAGATGATAAATGCTTGATGATGAAGGCAAAAGCAGCAAAGAACCTGCCTGGAGTGTTGGAGTGAAGAAGGGAAGTCTAAAGGAGGAAGGTTACCTATGTCCAGCAGGAGCCTCATTATCCTTTGCTGATTTCAGTGGAGCAAATTTAGCCAAGAAGATAGCACCCTGGTGAGTGGACGCTGGTGAAGGAATTATAGTACATGCTCAATAAATGCTTTGCAGATTGATGGAGAAAAGAGCGGAGAAGCCTGCTGCAGGGATGAGGATGTGGTTGCTTGAATAGAATATATTAATAGTAAGACATTAATAAGTGCCTTCTGGATTAATGTGGGGAGAAAAGGGCAGCTGGAGAGATGGAATAAATGGAAAATGGTGCACATTGTGAGCTTCCGGGATTGTGTAGTGTGAAAGGCAGGATGGAGATTGTTGAAGGGGGTATTAGGGCTACATGACAGGGAGGAGACGCATTGATACAGGGTTCTTAGTAGTATACAACAAGTGCTCATCAAACAATTGTGGGAATGAATGGCAGAAAAGGTAGAGTGAGGCCAGCTGCTGGTTGGAATTAGAAGGAAGGGGAGCTGAAGGAGGGTTTTTTCTAGTACATAGTGGTGCTTAATAAGTGCCTCCCACATTCTGACACATGGAAAATATGCAATAAATATCTGTAGAATGAATAAATGGCTCTGAATAGAGAGAAAGGCTGCTGGGTAAAGGCTCCTAGGGGGAGAGGTAATCTAACCAGTAAACAGCTGATACTCAATAAATTTAGGCTGAAGTAGGCTCTGGAGAGAAAGCTCTTCTTGAAGCAAGGGCAGGAACTTCCAGAGACTTGGAAAGAGAAAGTTGAAAGTGACTCATACAGTAGGTGCTCAATAAATGTTTACTAGCTTAAATAGACTAAAGGCCCTTAGGGGACATGGACTTAAGGTTGGGAGGAGGAATCCTAGGGGCACTGAAGGGAGTGGGAAAGGGGTAGCCATTACGAGTTAGGCTCTGGATCTACCAAAGGAAAGGAACTTGGGGACAGGCCTTTGGATTGGGGTAGATTCTCCTAAGGGTAATGGAGGGGAAGGTACTTCCTACATACAGCAGGCACTGCATATGTGCTCACTGGATTCACTGGAATAAAAGGACTCTGGGGAGGAGGTGTGAACACACAGAAGGCACTCCATACATGCTCATGGGAGCTACTGAAGGAAAAGGTCTTTAGGGGAAGAGGATTAAAATAGAGCGCATGGCAGACAAGGAATAAATGCTCACTGGATCCATTAACAGGAAAGGCCTTTGGGGAGGGGGGCTGGGGATGGGCATACAATCACCTGATAAATGCTCACTGAGTCCTTGGAGGAAAAGCCCTCTGGGGAGGGGAAATGGAGATGCAGAAACTTGATCTACGTAAGCTTGATTCTTCATCCGTGTGAGAGGAAAGGCTTTCGTGGAGAAGGCACAGAATCAGGCACACAGTAAGTGCTACATAAGTACTCCGAGGAGTGGTTAAAAGAAAAGGTCTTTGGAAAGAGTGATTTAAATGGTGCACACAGCAAGTGCTAGATATCTGGGCACTGGAGTAACTGGAGGCACAGGCCTTTGTGGGGTGGTCATGCAGAAAGTGCTCAGTACATGCAGACTGAGGCCACTGGAGGAAAAGGCACTGGGGAAAGGGTTTGGGGATGGGATATACAGCAGGCACGCAATACATGCTTGCTGAATATATTGGAGAAAAGAACCTTTAGGGAAGGCTCACACCGCAGGCAGTTGATAAATGCTAGATGGTTCCACCAAAGGAAAGGTCTTTGAAGAAGTAGCTTGAGAACGGGGGATACAGGAGGCACTCAATAGATGCTTTCTAGATCCATTGTAGGAAAAGGTCTTTGAGGAGAGAGTCTGAAGATGAGTCACACACAGAAGGCTCAAAAATGCTCATGGAACTCACTGGAGGAAAATGATTGGGTTGAGAAGGGGCTTGGGGATGGGGCACACATCAGGCACTTAACACATGATTCCTAGATCCTTTGGGGGTAAAGGACCCTCGGAGAGAGGGCTTGGAGTTGGGGCACACAGAAGGCATTCAATCACAGTTCATAGGATCCATTAAAGGTAAAGCTTTTGGAGAGAAGCTGGGGATACACAGTACGCAATCAGTGTTTACTAATAGTTTGAAAGGTCTTTGAGGAGGGGGCTGGGGTGGGACACAGCACAGACAGGACACATGCTCACAAGATCCATTAGAGAGAAGGCCTTAGGGCAAGGGTTGAGAGCAGGACAGGATCAGGCTTTCAAAAAATGCTCACAAAATTCATTGAAGCCAAAGGCCTTGGGGAAGGACACTTTGATGAGGCATACTGCAGGTACTTGATAAGTGCTCACAAGAACCATTAAAGGACAAGACCTTTGGGGTGAGGGTTGGGGAGGGTAGTCAGGGCACACTAGGCTCTGGAAAGCTCACAGGATATATTGAGGCCAAAGGCTTTTGGGGAGAGGGAGTGCGGAAGAGATACACAGCAGGGAGGGGCACACAGGAAGCACCCCGCATAATAATTTAAAGGAAAAGGATTTGGGCACGAGGACTAGGTGACCGGCACACAAGTGGCGCTCGATAATTGCTCGTTCACCTCGGAACGATCTGGGGAACCAAGCCCGCGGGGAGACGTCCGCGACAGTGGCTTACCAGTCGGTGTGCGGTTCGTCGATGACCAGCAGCACTCTGGCGGCGGCGCCCCCGCGGCCTGCGCCCCCAGAGCCGCCGCCCACCTGCTCGCTGAAGGTGGCGGCCGCGGCTGCCGTGGTCTGCTTGACCGCGTTGGACAGCGACGAGAAGAAGCCACCGCCCCCTGAGGACCCGGGGCTAGGGGCGGCCGGAGAGGCCATGGGGGCGGCCGCGGAGGACCTGTCGGCAGTGGCTGCCGCGGGACC